TTCCTTCACTGGGACCATGTCTTTGCTAAATATATGATCCCCATCTTGCATACAAGCTTAGACCAGAGCTTGGACTGTAACTCCCAGAATATCACAGCAAGCATTGCAAATGAATGTCCTGGCTGGAAAATTCTAGGAAATGTAGTCCAAATATATATATATAACATTTGGAACTCTGGCCTGGATCCCACTTCTCATGGCTCATGTGTTCCCTGCTTTAAGCAATCCATTCAAAACAAACACACACACACACACACACACACACACACACACACACACACACACACACACACACACACACACACACACACACACACACACACACACACACACACAGGGTTATATCCCAGGCCCCATGTTTCCAAAAGCAGCCTACTCTGACCACTCCTGAAGTCTTTTACACATCTGATAGCTCCTCCTTCTTTCTGTGGCAGCCACATGTACCCTGTCTGAATGAGGGAGCATTGGCAGATAGCAGCAGGGAGAAAGCACAGTTGGCCTTCCTTATCGTTCTCTCTTAATCTCTCTCCCTCTCTAGAGCCATACAGGTTGCATCTAGAAAAGGCAGTGTATGGCTCAACAGAGACAAAAGCAGCAAGGAGGATGAAGGAAGCCCTGTAGATACCTGACCCTCCAGCTCCCCACCGATGAACCATGCATCTGTCACCTCCCCTTGGACTATAGTCAGAGCTGTCCCAAGACATTTTCCTCTCCGAGACACACACATGCCAGCTGTCCCTCTTCCCTTCCTTGGGCCCACTCTAAGTACACAGGTTGGCCAGTCAGCTTCTTCTGAGGTGCAATACCTCAAAAGCACTTCACCATGGCAATAACAACAGAGCAGCCACAAAGCAAATCTAATCGCTTGGTGCCCTTTTAGGACATACACATTCTGCTGCCTCAGGTAGTTGCCTCCTTCCACCCAGTGCAAGAGGTGGCCCTGACTAGCAATGATCATAAGGAGTATTTGAGGTGATTTCTAGAAATGGGACAGTTACATGCTAGCAACAAGATTCTGGAAACTGCACTACCAAAATGGATGGATGGATGGATGGATGGATGGATGGATGGATGGATGGATGGATGGATGGATGGATGGATGGATGGATGGATAGATGGATAGATAGATAGATAGATAGATAGATAGATAGATAGATAGATAGATAGATAGATAGATAGATAGATAGATAGATAGATAGATAGATAGATAGATAGATAGATAGATAGATAGATAGATAGATAGATAAAATTTCCCATATCTGGAGGAGAAAGAATGTGCTCTGGGAAAATGAGCTAGAAATGGGAGGGATTTTAAAAATTACAAGTTTTGCAAATGATCATCACAGCTACCCTCAACAAAACAACTCATTTGATGAAGTCCAAGCCTGCTAATTAGAGTAACTGCCAACTGCCTACCTGAAAGCCATTCACAAGGTGAAGGAAGAAAAGAGAGCTTTGTTAATAATAATAATCCATCAATCCAGTAGCTTTCACCTACCAGTATACTGATACTGAGGTAACAGACATAACCCTCCAATCGTACAACTGATATTTTAGCTGATGAAACAGAAGGTGACCATAAGGTGACAGATATGAGAACGGAGGCTGAAATGAATTTGGAGTTCTGAACTGGAATTTTGCAATGCAAATGCATTTGTAACAACTGTATTAGCATTCAGAAATGAAGTTGCAAGTTGTTGGTATTAAAATATTTTTCCACACCAGAACTGAGACCAGAAATGAGACAAAGGCAACTGTTTACTAGTACTTCCAATATCCATATCCTGTAATGCTGGGTTTTAAAGCTTCAGAAATGAAAATACAGGCTTCCGTTCAACGGCTGAAGTGGGCACTCCAATACCATGAAGCTATTTTAATGAAACAGTGGCTTGTGCACAGTAAGTGGAAAATAGCTTTCTGCACTTAGCATAACAAGGGTGAAGGGGAAGAGGGGCTGTTTAGCTTGCGTTCCGTTAACCTTAAATGCCCTGTACTATTAAAAATAGTGTATCACTGGCATGACAAAAGGACCCTGAGCTGACTCATGTAGCCCTTAGGAGGATACACTGCAGGGCTATTTAGTCAGATTTACCCCTTTCCATATCTGATTCATCTCCCTCCCATGGCTGTGGTAGGAAAAGGACGTGCACATTGAGGGGTGCAGGTAAACATCAGTGCAGCAACACCATGAGATACCACAACACGAGGGAGGATCTGATGTTAGGCACATGTTACCAAATGATGCTCTAGCCACCCATGCTAGAGCCCTGACAGGAAAAAAAATAATCTTGGTATTTTCAGGGCTGACAGAATTTTTTTTAATTAGATAATTTTTAATGACCAAAAAAATGTTTTCTGCACGTTTAAAACTTTTAAAAATTTCCTCTAGCCTCAGCTGAGTCTCAGAACTATGAGATTCTGCCATGAGTAAATTAAATGCAAAGGCCAGTGTTGCATTTAGAGCACAGCACCCACTGCTTTCATAAATCAATTCAAAAAACATATACAGTATACATTTAAGGAGTACTGAAGATGTGAAAAGGGGGGGGGGGAAATCCACAAAATGATTTATCATGATTGAGGAAAAACAGATCACCTTACTGTTGACTGCCAATTTTTTAAGGCAGGCTGCTCAAGGGATCCCGTGCAGGAATGGCATCTGGGCCCGCCCAAATTATTTTAATGCCTCAAGTGGAGCAGCAAATGGCATCTCTCTCTCTCTCTCTCTCTCTCTCTCTCTCTCTGTCTCTCCTTCTCTCTCTCTCTCTGTCTCTCTGTCTCTCGCTCACATCATGACGTGCAGAATCCCAAAGAAAGTTATTTTGTGACTAAAGGCAAAACAAACACAATCCAACGAACTTATCTTCCTTTCCCTTGTTAGTGAAAACATGTAAAATATAACCAACAAATGCCCAACAATTAGCTGCCCCTCTGTAACAGCTCAGATTTACTGTTCCAGGGAGGCATCTTGCTCTCTCTAAGAATACAACTGGGTCTGCCCTAAAGGGAAGAGAAAGCACACACACCCCCGAATACATTAATAATTACAAAGTTCACAGTATTAGAAACACACTAAGTTTCAAAAGGACCAGCCAGGGTGCCATAGGTGAACTTTCAAGTTTTGTGGCAGTTTCCTTTTGCAGAAAATACATTTTTTTTAATAAGGGTGAGAGGAACAAATGCTCCTGAATGAGGGCATTGCAATGTGGTGAACCCCTTGTCTTTAAAAGGCAGATGTTCCTGAATACATAATTAGGTTAGAACTTTTCAGACTGCCCCTGAACTGACTTGGATAAATAAGTAACAACGGGCACATCCTCTGAAATTATGAAAATGAACCATTTACTAGATCTAGTTCTAATAGGGCTCTCACCTTGCAGGTCCCTTTGTCAAGCAGAGAACAGAAATTGAAGAGAAGTGGATGAATAACAAAGCCTCCATAAAATGAAACGTGCTTTATTTAAAGTTCACACCAGGGCCTGGTAAGAAAGGAACTATGTTACTCATACCACTAATGCCACAAGAAACATCTAAATGTATGTACAAGAGTATTGTGCAGAAGTGTTTGCCATGGCAATTCGTATGAAATCACAACAAAATAGTAAGTAACTGGTTTGAATAGTAAATAACTCTACAAGACAAGAGCTTCTTTGAAGAATGAACTTTGGGACCCCGGGCCCATGAATGGTTCGTTTGTTGCTCCAATCAGAGTAACTTCAATGGCGGTGGTGCTATGAAATGGATTGCCTGGAAGAGTCTTGAGATAAAGCTTGGGGGGAAAGGAGTACAAGAAGGACCCTGCATGGGAGCTAGAGAGTCAGTAGGTAGCAATATGTGTAGTACAGAATGTCTATAACAGTATCATATGAGAGCTGAGGAAACACAGGTTCCACCCCATTCAGCCAATTGATGACTTTAGTTTAACCACTCTCACCGTCTGCCTAGCCCACTCCATAGAACAGTTGTTGTGAGGGAGGGAAGCCATGTATGTTGCCTTCAGCTGCTTATTAGAACACACACACACAATCTTTTCTCCTTCAGTAAAGTTTATCAAACCATGTCAGCTTCTACTTCTTCCCCCACACACGCCACAACTAAATATTTCCACAGAGACAGCTACTATATTTCTTGCACAGAAGTTGAAACAACCGTTAGTTAAAGGCCTTGAAAGAACAAAACTGTTTATAATGAGCTGTATTTGCAGGTCTAGCAACCTGACTTAAAAAAGAGAGAGAGCAGAACCACCAATAAGAACACAGTGGAAAACCTTAAGTATGTGTGAAACAGGCCCCTTGTCAGTCAGTGTGTTTCTCTGTATGTATATTTTGTGGAAAAACATAGCCACCAAAAATATAATCCAGCATGAAAGTTGACAGAACATCCTGGTAGATGATGGTCTTTTTTTAAAAAAGAAGCTATAAATCTCACAAAATGCCTGTTTTTCCCCTCACATGATCTCAATGGACATCTTCTAAAGACATGCAGCGCAATCCAGTATACACATATTCAGAAGGAGACCCGCTGAATTCCCTGGTGATTATGCATGAATAGGTGTACCTAAGATTGCAGGTATAATGTTTGATTCTCTCTGCTTAAAAAGTGGGCAGACATCATATTGTATCATACTATATTATTATTTTTTATTTCTGGAGTCAAAATTAGAAGAATGGGCAGAGGAAGGTGAGGCCACCATAAGCTTTTTAATGGGTCTCTTGTTTTCCTTTCATTCAAGGGAACCAGGGAAAGAAAAAAACTCAAACTTTTATTCCTGCCCTAACAGTTTTACCACCTTCCATTTAGTCCTTCATCCAAGACTCAACAGGAGTCGAGACATTCAGTCGAGAACCACATCTGTCTCTCAGGCCTTTGGTATGGTCATAAGCCACCAAGGTTATTTGTCATCACCACTTGAACAACAGGGTGGGAACTTTTTCCATATGACAGTTCTGCTAAATCTTGTCTATATTGTGCAGATTATAATGTGCTGCTAATGGGGGTGGGGTGTTGCAGCCATAAAAGAAACGTCTTTCATAAAACAGATACACATGTTTTGAAGAGTTAAATATACCATGCTCCACACTCTTGTGCTGTTCTCCCTTAGAACATGCAACATCAGAAAAGAGACACAATAGAAAACCATTGTCAAAAAGATAATTTAATACACTCCCCCCTCTTTTGCTCATTCATTTGCTTTAGAGACAGGAGATTAATTTTTTTAAACATCATCACCCACATAAGTATTGCATTGCACAAGGGTGGATGGAAGAAACAAAGAAAATATATATATCTATTTATAGGACATAAATCAAAATGATTGGACTCAAATCCCCTACATACAAAGCAGCATAGGAACAGCCAGTGTAGTGTCACTATAACCTGTGCTATTTTCTAGACTGTTGATAAAAGCAATGATCCTCTACCTTAGGGCTGGGCACACAGCTCCCATAATCCTTCAAAATTAGCTATACTGGCTGATAGTTGTCACCCCAGAACATCTGGAGGGGCATAGTTGCCTACCTCTCATACATCTAAAGAGAAATAAAGTGCTAGGATTCATCGATTCTGCTTTATGTACTGTGCTTTTCGCCTTAGAATCTTTCATACAAACATAAGAACTGGAGTGGGTTTAAACAAACTGACACCCCAGAAAGGAGATTAGGAGTGAGGTGAACAGAAATTTTGTTTTTAGTCACTTGTTTGGTCTTATTAAGAAAACGTAACTTAACAGCAAAGGACATGCTTTGTTCATAGGAAGTTGGAATTCAAATATTTCCAACAATAAAATGGTGTTTCAGAGAAAGAAAGCATGTCTACAATTCAACTGAGATCACAAAAATACCGAGTTTAATAAACTCTTGTTTGTACAGGTGGCTTACCCGCCTGAGTTGGTGTGTGGTACCATTTATCCATTTTGAATCTTAACAGACCAATGAAAATCTGATATTGTACTATCAGCTTTGATTTTGATGCAAGACTACTTAAACAAAGGTACACATTCTTATGGCTTGAAATGACACAAAGCTGAGACAGTTTCTTAAAATCTCCTTAGATGGACAGCCTGGATTAAGGGACTTTATGGAGATAACTGTACAACAAGCATCCCCTGAATGTTGGAGAGACGTTTTCACCAGAGACAGCATGGATTTTACTTCAGGGATCAATCCATGGTGTGGATAACTGCCAGTGAAGTCTCTTTAGACCTACTCCTCTAGTACTGAGTAATGAACAATAGGACATCTAAGAAGAGATAACACCGATGCTGGAAGCTGCTCCTCACTCTTTCAGGCGGCAACCAACGAAACATACAGTTTGTCTAGAATGAAGCGTAAAGTGACCTGCAAAGCAGACCCCCAGGAAAGGTGGTGACGGAAAGACGAGGCGACGGGCCACAACTTGGGTTCTTGGTTTTTGTCAATCGGGGTATAAAAGGAAGCCAGAGAAAGTGCTGTACTTATTGTTGTTGCCTCCGTGGGCTTTCCCTCCATCCAGTTTCACATAGACCTCGTCCCCTGAGTCCAGGTGCAGCACCACACTGTTGCTAGCATAGTCGTAGTTCTGGTCGGCATCCTGGGCGATGGCACTAGCCCGCACCTGCAAAGCACAGCATACAAAGAGCAGAAAGGGATTCATATCCTTGGACACTCCATGGTCTGAATCCTTCCCCCACCCCACCCCCAAGCCTTCTTTTTCCACGTTCCTTCACCCTCTTATAGAAGCATCATGTTTTTTTACTCAAGTTTAGGGGGAGGATCTTTTTTTTTTGTTTCTTTCTTAAAATTGACAAGACAGTCTGAGTGTGATTTTTTTTCCCCATGGAAAAGCACAGTATCATCACAGAAATAAGAAAAACTAAGGAAAGTTACTTTTTTGAACTGCAACTCCCCAAATCACCCAGGTATTACGGTCAATTTTTTTCCAAGCGATGACTGAATTAAATACCACTAAGGAAAAGAAATTTATACCATACCGTATCGCCACCAGTCACTTCCTTCTTTCCGGATACCACCTACTGTGCCTTCCAAGAAAAAATATCCCTGAAATGGATTTTAAAACAGATTGGCAGGTCCCTTTCTATTGACAAAACACCTGGGCACAGTCAAAAGGGCACCCGCTGGACAGTTAGATTTCCACACATACCACAGAAGCAAATTTGGAGAGATCAGTTCAGGTCAAACATTTAAGAAAGTTCAAGGAAAACCCAAGGGAGTTTTAGCAAGACCAACAAAATGTCTTAGGAAAGAAAGATAACACCTAGCAAGAACTAACTCTTTCACCTTGGCCTCTCAGATCAGCCTATTCTGATCCTCCTTTCCTTTTTTTACCTCTTCCCTTTGCCTCAATCCCTGTTTCCCATTCTGCTTGCATTCCTACCGTACCCTTTTTCTACCACCATTCCCTTTTACACCAAACCTGCCCTTCACAGAGAAATGCTTTTCTTGTTCTTGTGCTCTTGCCATCTCCTCAGCTCTTTCTGTCACAACCCCCTCCTTTTCTTTTCCTCCTCAATCACTGTATAGAAAAAGGACATTAAATGTGACAGTAAAAGACATATAGTTTAACCTCCTTGAATGGAAATATTTCTTTCACTTGAATCTTGGCAGACAGATATCCATTCAGCCTGTTTCTTAATACTTCTGGTGATGGAGATTTCCTAACCTCTCCAGACTCCCTGTTCCACTGCTAGATTTCTCCATGTCATGTGTTTTTCATCCTGTCTTTCTCACTTCATCCTCCTTCATCGCCAGCACCCAGTGGCTCTCCCAAATCCTATCTCCCTTGGATCTTCATCAGACCTTTCATGTTTCCATCCATCATAATTCAGTCTCTCTTTCCTTGGCCTTCTCTTCCTGATACTCATCCCTTCCTTTTTCCCTTACTTCTAATCCAATCAATTTTGGTTCTGTGTTCCTTCATTTATTGATTTTGATTATTCATACCATGCTTTTGGAGCAGATGGTTCCCCAAAGAAATGTGTAAATATATTGTAATGACACAAAACAAGATGATCTCTTCCCCAAACATAAACACACAAGCTGACAAACCTTAAAGCTGCGGCCAATTTATGAGACTTTGTGCTTCTCTTCAGCTGAAGAATCCCAGGAGAACAGTTTTGCTAGCACTTTCCCCCCTTAGCTGAAATATTCAACATCCTTTTGCAATAGCCCTGCAAATGATCTAGAAAGGAAGGAGCTATACAGGACACCATGTATTAACACTTCTCTCTCTCTCTCTCTCTCTCTCTCTCTCTCTCTCTCTCTCATATCACTCTTGTAACAAGATCAAAGAAGTGTCAGATCAGTCATTAGGCTGAGTGCACATTACTGACCATTCTCATTTTGTGGCCATCCTACATCTTTCTCTCTCCCCTTTCCGTTAAACCCCAACTGGAACCACTTTTCTCATATTCCATTTTCCAGATACTTAGGCTTTTTTCCAAAATTTGTTGTGGCCCTGTCCAGTGGTATCAAAAAAAAAGAAAGAAAGAAAGAAAGAAAGAAAGAAAGAAAGAAAGAAAGAAAGAAAGAAAGAAAGAAAGAAAGAAAGAAAGAAAGAAAGAAAGAAAAAGAACTTTCCTTAATCCACCTTATTTTACTTCCCAGGAAATTAACTGGCAGGTCTATACCCCTTTTGCCCATCCTGCTTTCAGCCCTACTCTTGCCTAAGCAGGTGCTAGAATGTGAGCTGAGGGCATGTTCTCAAACAGAGATTGTCTTTTCTAACTGGGTTGAAAATATCAAAGCAAATAAACAAGAGACTCTCAGCCTGGTGTCCTCCAACTGTTTCAGAGCACAACTTTCATGATTCTTGACTATTGGCCTCACTTCTCTGAGCCTAATAGGAATTTATGTCAGAGTATCTGAAGTGCAGAAAATTGCCTCTCGTAGTGATACTTCATGACCTGAAGCAAATGCAGTCTATCAAATATAGCAGGAACTCTCCTACATCTTCCCCACCATCCACAAAGGGGACACATTGAAAAGCCTAAGGTTTTCAGAATTCACTCTGTTCCTCGGCTTCACCATGTCCCATGATATGTGCCATATGGTATAAATCAGCATATGCTAAACAGGTGGATGTAGCTCTTAATGCATCATGCAGAATTATTGCTATCTATCTGAAACCTACCCCAGTGAAAAAGTTTATTATTTGGTTGGCATTGCCTCTCCAGAAGTACATCAAGAGATGCTAGTAAGTAAAGAACAAAATAAGGTAATACAGCACCATACCCATCCACTTCATGGACATCAACTGCCTAGACAATGGCTAAAATCAAGAAAAGGTTTTCTGCACACATCTCAAGCTCTAAATATTAAACCAGGAGAGGCTAAGTTAAACCTATGGAGAACAACACAAACTGCTGAATGGATGACTACTGAAGAGTATCTCTCACCATAAGACTCGATCTAGAAGTCACTTTATAGACTTGGAAGCAATGCTGGAAGATCAAAGAATAATCAAGTAAAATGGAGCTACTTGTTTACAGGATGATCTTTTATGACTGTAGAGAAATTCTATCAATACTGCACTTATTTGCATGCAATGTATGTCCTATCTCATGTACAAAAGAACATCTAGCAACTGATCAAGATGAAGCCATTAAGTAGCCTGCTTCGGGTCAAAAATAGTCTAACTATTTAAAAATTTTAGTTAGTTTTAATTTTACCTATTTTTTATATGTTCATAATGTTAAGTTGTGGAATACTCTGACATGGTTTTTTTTAAGGAAGACCAAGTACCACACATAGTCTCAGGATCTAAATGTGAGGAGCTATCCATGGTCCTGAGAGAGGAAGGGAAAAAAGCTGCAGATGAAGAGAAGGGAGGGTTTCCCACAATGTTAGAGGGACCTGGAGCATAAATGAGCAGGAAGTACTGTCCACCCCCTACACTGAAAAGACTAAAATGTCTTCAGAAGGACAGTGATGATATTTAGTTTCTTGGTTCACGCAAGTATGTGTACTCACACTCATACACCCTTACAGACACACATACCACACTTCTGTTCAGCAGATGGAATCCACCTCACCCCAGTGTTAGGGATGCAGCCTTAACAAATGAAAAGGAAGACAAAAGGATATCGGGGGGGGGGGACAAGAAAGCTTTTAAAGTATAGGATCCACTGGAGTTAATCAGAGTATGAAGGATAAACCAGGAAGCATGAGAACTTTAGAATTAGGCCCTCTTTAAGCTGAGGGAAATTGTCTTTGGAAAATGTATAAACCACCAGATGACATTAGAGCAAAATATGTAAGAAAAATCTGGCCTGATCTGCTCAGAGAGATAGATAGCAGCCAGATTTTTCAGGGTAGCCCACGAACAGGGCTTGAGTGCAGACTGCCTGCTTCTATCTCCCAACTGCTGGTATTGAGAGGCAAAATGCTTTTGGTACAGGAAGAAATATATAGCCATATTCATAACTAAAAGCCACTGATAGCCTTGTCCTCCATGAATCTATTTCTCCTTTAAAGTTGTCCACAGTGGAGGCCAACTGAATCCTGCTGTAACCAATGCTGCACTTGTACTAGAAATAAGAAGATGCTGCTTTTGCCCCTAGAATGAAAGGGCTGGCCTGAGGTTTCCAACTGAAGGCTCCAGGTAACAACCATCTGCTTTACTGTAAGGGGATTGGCTTCATGGGGTATGTGGTGTTCTCTTCCCAGGATGTGGCAGAATGTGGATTAACCGTGGTGGAAGAATGGGCTCTTATGAAGATAGGTGGGATAGTCATTAATTAATGCAGTTTCCCCATTTCTTTCAATGCTTCTTTCCTTTCCACCATTCTAGGATCTGTGGTTCTGAGCAAAGCATTAAGCCCTTGATTGGGGAAAAAAACAGGTCTCTGTGAAAAACGATGACATACTTAGGCTTAGAAGTCTGGTGAAATGCCATGCTTGAGTCACGTCAACTACTGTTTTTAGCAACTGAAGATAACTTTACAACTGTAGGATCTCCATCTGGGCGCAGAAATGCCCGGAGAAGGAGAAGACTGAAGCTTCTAGGCTTGGCTCTATCCATTAAGCAGAGTGAGTTAATGGCTTCAAGCAGCAGGTGCAGGAAAGTATTTATCCTAAATTCTCGAGTTAATCCCTTGATTAAGTGGACCGAACCATGTGCAGCCTCAGCTTGTCCATATCCATACTGGTGCTGTCAAAATAAGATTTAGCTGCCAATCCAGCTTCTGTATATAGAATGAAGGGCACCTCATCCTGTTCCTTGCCTCAGCTAGCTCTTGGCTTGCTGGCCATGCCTCAGAGACTGGCTTTTCCCTAATGGAAATGGTAGTTACTATGATCCAAAGGCCCAGTTCATGGATTCATTAGTCCCTGGCTTATTGCATTTTACTAGCCGTTAGTACCCACATTGTCAGACAAGAGATAGGCGTCCTTAGGAAAACATCACAAGTCCCACCCTGATTGACAGTCCCCACCTTCAGCCAAATTATTTCCTCATGCCTTTTTAAAAACATGTCTCAGGACGCTATCTTCACTCCCTGGAAGACTAAGGCCACTTTCATGAAGACAATACCCTAAAACTGTTAACAGGCCCCACTTACCTGTAATATCAGACCTATATCTCACATTGCTTCCTTCCAAGCTTTTGTGCTAATCCCCCAGTGTATCTGCCAGGAACAGGCTACATGCTATAAGTAATGCAAGGATGAGGAACATGTGCTTCCCTCCATCATCACAGATGATGTTTTTTGAACCGCAACTCCTGCCGTACTTCATCTCTGATTATGCTGGGATAGGACTTACAGGAACTGCATTTTAGCAACATCTGAAGGGTTCCATGTTCATCACCCATGGAGCGGAGGCTTCACAGCACAATAAAAAAATAATTCTTTCTGTAGGGTGTTCTGTCAACTAGATGTTACAGCAAGAATGGGGATTGCTCACCAGGGATGGTCACTTTCAGTAACATCCTCATGGCAAGCACAACATGCTGATTCATAGCCTAATGTGTGGGCCATCTCCATGTTCACCATCTTGTTGACATTTCATTCATGTTGCAGGCACAGAACAAGGAGCCCTCATGCATGGCCTGGCCCCAGACCTTGGAATCTCCACTCCAGAGACACACATGATTTCTACAACATTCAAGACCCTGGTGTGATCGTGAGTCAGGTCTCCACAAGCTTGTTCTCTTAAAATGCAACTGGAGGAAGATATCATCTGAGGAAGCAACCCTCACACAACAAAGGGAAACCTCTGAGGGTGTGACTTTACTGGAAGGGTGTAATTTGACTCACAGCCTGTATTACATTTGAAATCTCAGTCAGTGCTCAAACTGTTCATCATTCTTACTGGGTGTGAGACAATCCACATTTCACTTGACAGCCCCCCCCCTTCTTTCTTTCCTCCCTCTGGTCCCACATCTGCTGATCTAACTGGGAATGGACGGAAACATAAATATGAAATAATTATTGGTCCCACATCTGCTGATCTAACTGGGAACGGACGGAAACATGAATATGAAATAATTATAACAGTAACGCAGCAATGTATATATATGTGATTTGGAGAAAAGTGGGGAATAGTTTTGTATTTAATATTTGCAAAATGTTCGATTGTCTTTTCATTCTTTAGAAATAAATAAATAAACAAATAAAATATGAAATAATTATAGCAGTAACCCAGCAATGGGGGGTGATCTAACACTAACCTCATATATGTAAGAAATTATTTTAAAATTTTTAAAATTCAGAGGATGATCAGAGGAGAGGAAAGAATGTGGGGATGTGTTCTCCTGGTCCTGAACATCACACCCCAACTGCCTACATCACCAAAACACCACCTACAGACACACACCCTATCTTTGCAAGAATGTATCACAACAAACCTCACAAGAAAAAGCCTGCTTTAATCATTCAGCTTGAAGATCTAGAAGCCCCTTAAGGAGCAGAGAATTGGGAGCAAAAAGGCTAGATTGATTTAAATCCATCTTTGAGTTGTGTGGTCAGTTTAAAAACCCTTCAAATTCACTTTATAAGCAGGACAAATTCCATGATATTTGACCATGTAGCTGCAGCCTAAGTGCTACATCCACATATAACTGGGGCAAGCCTGGAAGGAAATCCTTTCTTCATTGGGCAGCAGTAAGAATTGTTAGGTCTCTACATTCAAGTTTTAAAACACATGAGACTCATAGCTCTGAAAAGGATCACACAAGTCACTTTTCACAGCCCAACCCTCATCTAAAAGGAGGACACCCACTAATACACCAACAGATGGCTGTCCGAGATGTGCTTCAATCTTCTCAAAAGAAAAATTTTTAAGACAGTTTTTAGCAAGTAGCTGACTGTTAAAGACAGGGTTTTAAGCAGGTGCGTATTGGACTGAAGGAGGTCGTGATCATGATTTTAAGTGATGAACTTTCTGAATTGCTTTAAAGTTAATTGTGTTTTGATACTATGATGTTTTGAAATCAAAAGCTATTTTGGTCTTATCTGTATTTATTTTTTAATCACATTGAGTTACTTTGAGTCTCACTTCTGGGTGAACAAGGGGACATAAATAAATGAATACAAACGAAATAAAATGAAGTTGGAATTTAGCTGACATACCTCACTTTGGATCAGCTCCCTATAAGAAGAAGGAAATTGTCACTGATGTTCTTTCCACCTGCACATCGTTTCAGCATGTAAAAACGAGGTGTCCTTCCTTCAGATGGGGGTTGGATTGCAAAAATTCCTCCTTGCTCATCAGTGCCCCAGGTCCCTCCGAACCTGTAGTGGCTCTTGCTCCTCTCTGTACCTGCTGGTTTCCTCTCTCCCCCCCTCCTTTCCTTTCCCCTACCTTTCAGCACCATAGATAGCTCCCTATAGGCAGTGAAGCTCTTAAGAGCACACCAGGCAAAAACAAAACAAAAATAATGAAAAACATTAAGAAGACAAAATGCTGTGGCACCTTTAAAACTAATTGCTGCATTCTACTGTGAGCTTTCATGGACAAGTCCATCTCTTCAGACAAGAGCACATCATGGGCCACTGTTAAACCAAGGAGTAGACCCACTTCTCCGAATCTTTAAGGAAGGTCCATAAGATAATTTCTTGATGTAAGGTTTTGTGGATGATGAGCACAACACACATAGTAGACCCAGGCAACGTGTGCCCTTCCAGATTTTGCCCACCAGCAGTTTTCAAGCCCTTCTGATGTTTGATAACATGGGCCAGGGCAGAAGAGAGTTACAGCACATTCCATGCTGACAACTTAATGAAATTTTGAGCTGCAGAAATGAGCATAGGGGCTTACTATGCAAAAATGAATTCCTATAGTTGGCAATTTATTTATTGTTATCAAAGACCCTCTTATAGTCAGAATTTCATTCCATCACCATCATTCACACACACGATTGCTAAATATGACTTCCCATATGTACAAGGCATGAACCAAACCCCAACATACATATCTCATTCAACTTCTAGGGGAAACTGCCTGGATCTCAGGATCTCTTAGCAGCATAGGAAACCACCTTGGGTAAAGCCCAACTAACGCAGCATTGCCAGTGATGACTGGAAGCAATGATTTCAGGTGGAGGACTTTCCTTGCCCTACCTGAAAATGGAAGGGACTGATCTTAGTCCATCCGACATGGAAAGAGCTCAATCACAGATGACTTTATGAAGTGGCAATCTATAAATTTTCCTCTTGTGGACAAAGGGAAAACAAGAAGGAAAGCAAGACTGTGATGCAGGAGCAACACAGGAGGGGATTGTGAAGACCAGTCCTGATATGTGATTGGACCTTAAACTCAGCTCCTCCTACTGGCACCTTCTATATGTGTGTAATTACAATTGACATTATCTTCAACCAGCATAGGCAAGATGATGGGGTTTATAGTGAAACACATCTCGAGAATGCCATGTTGTGGGAGGCAGCCCTAAAGAGAGCCCCAGAAGTGGACCTTTTCAAACTCCAGGTCTCCAGGGACTTTGCTGGCCACGTTCCCGCAGAATAGCCTTGTTAATGGCTTCAGATCCCTCCCCATCTGCGAGAAAAAGCCCGCCAGCTCTTGAGATGCGGGTTGGGAACAGAACTATTTTAGGGCTCCCTTCTGAACTGAACTCCCCTTCCCCACGCACGCACGCACGCACGGACTTCAGAATCCCCTAATAAGCAGCTTCCTTCCCACTTTCTCTCGCTCCAGGTTCCCCTGAACTGGGTTTCCTCCTTGGCTCCTTCCAAGTCGGAGTCCCTATGCGGTGAGGAACTCTGGGGAAGGGATTCCTTTCGGCGGATGGTCTGCCCTCCACGCCGAGTTCCTCATTTTCAGGCTGACACAGATCTCGAGGGCTCGTTCACACGAATCCCGCGCAGCTGGGCGGTTACACAGCAGCCTCGACGCCGCCGAAAAACCAGCCCGTTTGAGCTGAGAACGGGCAAGTTCCTCCGCGCCCCTTCCCGGTTGCTTCACATGCGATGCCGCCGCAGCCCTGAAGCGCGGGCAAAAGCACGTGTGAACGAGCCCTCGAGAGTTTCAGGCCCCTGGGTTTCCGCATCTCCTTCGGTCGCCTTCTGCACTTTTAGTTTTTGCAGGCTGAAAAGCTGAAGGGGAAAAGTTGCAACCACCCCGCTGCCCAGCTCCCCTAATCTGAGCCACCACCCCCCTTCCGTTCTCCGAGCTCTCCCCCGAAGGTTGGAGGCCCCGCGCCGTCCAGCGCGCCGCCCTCCCGCCCGCTCCGCGTCTCCCCTGGCCGGCGCGGCCACCCACCTGCCCGTTCTTGCAGAGGTCGGCCCACATGCTGGTACCGTCGCCGCCCCGCATCAGGATGTGGTAAGTGAAGAAGTAGATGCCGCGCACCTGGCAGGTGAACTTGCCCGACGAGGGGTCGTAGTGGTTGCCCAGGTTGGTGACCACGTCGTCGAACTTGAGCACCTCGTAGCCTTCGTGCGGGCTCTTGAGGCCCACGTAGAAAGCGATCTTGGGGCCGCTGAAGGCAGCGCTCAGGGCGCCGGTCACCTCGCCTCCCGGCGGGGGGCTGCTGCTGCTGCTGCTGCCGCCAGCGCCGCCCGAGCCCATGGTGGTGGTGGTGGCGGCTCCCGAGGGCCCGATCCCCGGCACCAGCATCCCCGGCAGCCCCGGCCTGCCCGAATCGCCCCT